CAGGCGACACCGACACCACGTGATGTCGAGACCAACTTTTATTATTATTATGTTATTTATATATGTATTTATTACTTTACAGAATATTATTTTAAAGTTGATTATTATTATTTTAAAAATGTCCAAAAACAACTGACGATTAGATTTAAATCATCTTAATCTAGAATCTTCCTCTCCTTTTAAATAAACAAAATAATTATTAATAATAAATTATATATTATATATTCTATTTATTGATATCCAGGGGGGAAAAAATTAAAGCCTTGACTCATTGCTAATTCAAGTTAGCCATTTGTTTAGTAAAGAGTCTAACATTATTAATATTATTAATAATAATAATAATAATAATATGAACAGAAATCAAAGATTAAATCACTGTGATGAAGGTAAAAATGCCAAAAGAAAAAAAAAAAACAGCTAAAAAAATTCTACTTTGAAGATGAGCCAATGATGTCCTAGAATATGGGATGCAGCCCACATGGGACCTGCCTATGTGCCACCACTGGTCCCAGGACCAGACTTTGGACCTACATGCAGTAAATACTCAGTCAGTGTGTGACTAAAAGACTCTCTCTCTCTCTCTCCCTCCCTCCCTCCCTCTCTCCTCCTTACACACACCACACAGAGTCAGTCTGCTGCCGTCTCCTCACCGGCAGTTTAGCAGTAAAACATTTTTATAATCAGACGTTATTGTTCGCCGCCTCCTTGTGGGAGATGCGCCCATGTTCATTTTTTAAAAGGGCAAATCAGCCATAATTCAGTTTATAAAGTGCAGAGCGCGGGGCAGAAAAGCCTGGATGAATATTCATTAGAGCCTGAACTGCCGGCCCCAGTGATTCATTAGCTCTATGTAAATATCACTCACTTTAATTGCTCCTAAACTGACTCAACATAATGTTGTCATTAGCAAATTATTACTTATTTGTGATCGTAATGGCACCGTGTTATTATGGTATGGCAGCCGCCGCCGCCGCCGCACATGTATGATTGTAATTATGAGTCTTTCATTCACGGGAGAAAGAAAACGGTCGTTTGACCCGTCACTCCACACACACACACACACACACACACACACACACCTCGGTGTACTACAGTGCAGTTGACTGGACCTTCACTGTGACTGAATTATTCATACGTGGAGGAAAAACTGCAGCTGAATTCTGTCGTTCACTGTGATGTAACTGAGACAGAGAGAGAGAGAGAGAGAGAGAGAGAGAGAGAGAGAGGAAGAGGATGATGAGGAAGAGGAGATGACGACAGAGAGGAGTGATGACACGGAGGACGAAGAGAAAGTGTCAGATGATGACATGAGAAAAAAGCAATAGGTTAAAGAGAGATGAGATATGAGGAAATAAGAGTGATGATGATGATGATGAAGAGGAGGAAGAGGAGGAAGAGGAGGGGGAGGAGGAAGAGGAGATGATAAAATGGTTGACATGAATCATTCCAGTTAGCATGTTTCAGTCTGTCACCGTGGAGAACATATCAAGTGAATTAATGATCATGTTAACGATGATGATGATGATGATGACGATGACTCATCAGTCCGACTGATGACCGATGAAGAGTATTTTGTATTCGTGTGAATGTTGTGATTGTGATGAACTACAGTAAAACTGCACACGTATGACATCACAGACGCATCACTACACGTCCAGACACCGGCTTCACACCGACAGTCACTTCACGTCTCAACACACACACACACACACCCTCACCTGCCCCCCCCCCCAGGACTGGGTTCACTGAGTGGGTTTATAGACACAGCAGCAGTTTGTAACAACAACCATGACAGAACAGGCTCACAGACCAGAGGGTGTGTGTGTGTGTGTGTGTGTGTGTGTGTGTGTGTGTGTGTTAGGGAGCTCATAAAGTACTGTGATGGATGAGCTCCGTTCTCCCACAGGGGCCGGCACCATGTAAATTGGCCCACACAATGCATTATGGATAAGG